ATTTTTCTTTTTTGTTGTAACTTTAATTCATTTTACTTTGCATTTTCCTTTTTGTTTATAACTTTAAAGGATTTGGAATTGGAATGCTTGAGAAGTTTAACTTTAATTGGAATGCTTGGAATTGTAACTTCAATTTTCTTAGGTTGTGCATGCTTGAGAAGTTGATGAGATTGTGAATTTATATATGTTTGAGAAATTGAGGTTGTGTATTTATTTATTTAGGTTGTGAATTTAAATTTTTGTGAATGCTTGAGAACTCGCGGTTTTAAACCGCTAATTCGCGGTAACCGACCGCATTTTGCGGTTTACCGCAATGCGGTAAACCGCAAAACGCGGTCGGTTTGCGGTTTCAAAAATCACTAAACCGCAAATAGTCGGTCGGTTTGCGGTTTGAGTAAAAATTCGCGGTTACCGAACCGCAACCACCCCTAGTTGGTTCAGTTGGTAAGGTTTCTGCATTGAGTGTTCGAGTTCCGTCTTCCGGCTCGAGGTTGTGGGTCTACCCTGGCCCTGATGATGACAGTAGTCAATCTCCTCCTAAATTTTTATTCACCAAAAAAATAAAAATAAAAACTGAAAATTGGTGGTATTTCGGTATGATCATAACACTATCACGTGATGTTAGAAATCTACTTATATTATAACATATCTTTTATCAATTTAATATTAAAATAATATGTCATCGGTCCATATTATATCATATAAATTAGTAATGCCATACAACAGTGCTACGATCACGTTCAAAATTTACTAAGTTGGAGGTTGTTAGGAGCTCCAATCAAGGAATCTTCCTAAGCGACTATTTTATTATTATTATTATTTTTTGGGTAGCTTCTTAAGAGACTACTCGATTATGCTTCAAACACAATGCTTAGCTGAGAATGGATTGGTATATCCATTTCATTAATGATCTTTGGCACATTCCTCATATAGATTCCAAGGAGGTCTCATCTTTGATGCTACTTTTTAACTAAATAAGCTATTAATTATTGCTTAAAACATTAATTAGCATTCTCTCTTTCAAGGTCATGACATGATTGTAAGATGACAAGGTTGTTAAAATCAAATGTGACATGTCAACAACATAAGGAACTTTTATGAGTGGTTCATGTGACATTGTGATGAATCCAGAAGACATAAGACTTCTTTCAGTATGTGGGTAATAATAGAACAGCATATTTCTCATCATGGTGCTTCTTACCGATAAGCCTGTTTAAGGGTTTTGACATCCTAGCAATAAAAGATCCAGTTATGCAATAAATTCTAGAGTGTGACGTGTAAACTGAACCGTGAAGAAACATACATACTCTTAAGATGCTATACATACGTAAACAAAATAACTAACCAGGAAAGTCACGGGTTAGATGTTCTACTCTAGACGACTTTACTCAAGGTCTTTCAATGGGACCTGTCATTTATAGATGGTAATCTGACAGAGTTCAACTCATTAAGAAGTCTATCGCATGACAACCTTAATCCAGAGCCCATGAATTGTAGTTGGTGCCTGTAGCGCTATTGTTAACTTTATTATCAGACTAAATTCGACAACAGGTAATATCATATTTAGTCTCAGTATCTTAAATCCACAAATTTCTTAAAGGACGGTCGCTACTTCACTTCTTACAACTAGCCATCGCATGAGCTAATTTTATAATATAGAACTTAACCTCTTCTAGTCTATTCATTGATTTACTCATTGGGGGTGTACATAATAATCATATGATGAATCATCCAACTAGAAATTCTTTTATCCAAAAGTCATTCATAAACAAAGCTCTTGGCTTGATAAAGCCCAAAGTTTCTTATAATTACAGCTAGTTTTAGTTGCTATTACTAGCATATTTGACCACTAGGAGAGCCTAATATCATAAGACAAGTTTCTACTATTGTCATGCTATCATCAGCTTCATCCAGAACTGTATAGGAGTTCTAAAAAGATAAATAATAATATAATTTATATTATACTGTAGTTTCCAGCCCACGGAAACATAAAGCAGAAACTCTTTTCTGGTTTAGAGTGATTCTAATTAGGTGTGTGGATCACAAGCAGAACAGATTAAGGTTCTTTCTCTTTTTGCACCGAAAATTAGTGGTTAAAAAAAAAAAAAAAGAAAGAAGAAAAGATAAGCTCTCTTTGTCAAACATGCAACAACAAGTATAAGTTACAAATGTTAATGATGAATTCAAAGGAATCAATCAAGTGCAGTATTTGAAAAGGAGAGGACCACATTCAGCTTTTTTTATGCAATCAAGATTAGATTTCCCACAACAAGAAAAAGGTTGCATGAGCTACTCTGTCTTTGGTCCACCAGCTATACCGAGATGAGATATGACCCATTGTGCCATGTATAATTTTAACAGCTTGGATTGGTCTGCAGTGGTGATATTACAGGAAAAAAAACCCCACAAAGAAGATGGTCAAAATAAAATTCTCTCTTGTTCCAAGACTCTCTCTCTTCCTTGAGATTTCTATTGTAAATCAAGGTTATATTAATCCTAAAACAACAGAAATTCAAACTTTTTAATGTTTTATTTGTAAGATTGTGGGTTTTTCTACAATGGGTTGGTGCAATATTTTCTGTTCAAGCATACAATACTGCACAATGGTTAGTGGGAAGCAGAAGATAATGTTTAAGTAGTAAACCCACAATGCAATTTTCTTTGAACATTGAAAACCTGACATTCTTTTTGCTCTGAAATTCCACATTCTTCTTTTCCATCAACCAAAAAGCCTGTCAAAGTGAACCCCACAAGGTTGAAATATCACTTCATGCCAATTATCCTCCACTTTCTTTTCTTACTCATGTTTTCTCACTGAGACCATCAACATCCATGCAATTCCCATCCTTAATACATTAAAGAATCCCACTTTGCCTTCTTTAAACCGAAAGAAACAGAAGGGAGGAATTTATCTTACAGCTTTTAAGCTTATTTCTTCAACTTGCTCACTTCCATCTTGACATATCAGGTTTTTTTTTTTTGAAGTGGGGTAATTTGTCTGTGGCAGAGAGAGAGAGAGTGCATAAACTGCCAATTCTGTAGTGTGTGTGGGGAGGAGAGGGTGGCAAGGCAATCAAGTGCTGTGATGCACTAAACCTTATTGTCTACAACTGAGGCTTCACCAGCATACAAAGCTTTTCAACATCTCATTTAGTTGGTTTGTGCTTCATTTTCATAAAGAAAGCAAGATGCATTTTCTTCAGAAATTGGGTTTCTTCTGCATTCATGCAAGTGTTCTTCTTCTTCTTGTTTCACCACTCGTCAGCTCATCTCAAGAACACACAAAAGGTGCAAGCAGTCACAAGGACAACAATATTCATGAGGTATTTCGTTCAAAACTTTCTGTATTATATTGATGATGGTAAGTGCTAACTAGATTTTGGTGCATGATTTTACAGCAGATAAGCCACAAACTATTGTTTGAAATCACACTCCATGGGTTTCTTCTTTGGGCTTCAATGGGGTTCTTGATGCCTCTAGGAATACTTGCCATTAGAATGTCACACAGAGTGGAATGTGGAAGAAGGCTCAGAATTCTCTTCTATGTTCATGGCTTATCAGAGGCAAGTTCTTCTATGTTCTGTTATATTATCATGCTCTTCCATAATCTAGATTAACAAAGAGGGATGTATTTTTTTTCTTCATGGTTTTGAATTTCCATCACTGGAAAAAAGACTAACTACAGTGTTTATTAAAAAAAAAACATTGTTTATGTTATAAAGTTTGTTTATAAGGATCAGATGCCCCACTCTTACTTCCAAAGATGGTGAAGGGAAATTAAAGCAAAATGATTTCTGATTGGCAAATTGTTTAAGTAGCACACAGTTTCCTGATAACCAATCAAAATTTTCCTTTTCTTTTAAAGAAGATTATCATTAATGCTTAGAGGGCAAGAGATGAGTATGATCATAGATTTCTGGTCCATGGAGATTCATAGCTTTCTGATTATTTTATTTGAGACTTGGCACATGTGTGTGTGTGGAACATAATTATAGTGTTAGGTGCTGCATTTACCTAATCTCAAATCACATCATACACACAACACAAACTAAATATATGTACTGGATTTTGATTCAATTAATTACCACATGAGTTTCATGTCTGATTAGTTTATTATGTTCAACAGCTGCTCTCCGTACTTCTTGCAACAGCAGGAGCAGTAATGTCCTTCAGAAACTTCAACAACTCCTTCAACAATAAACACCAAAGGGTTGGGGTAGGCCTGTATGGTCTAATATGGTTGCAAGCCCTGATTGGGTTTGTGAGGCCACAGAGGTAAACTACCAAAAGTCTTCACCAAATCAATGTTTTTTGTTTTTTTTTTTTCAGTATGAACTTGTGGTTGTTTAAAAGAGCAAAAGTACAGAATATTTTACTGTAAATGAAGCCTAAGTTAAGATATTATATAGAATGGTTCAATACTTGTATTGTTTTCTCTTTCAATATGTTTCTTTTTATTGAACTTTTGTAGGGTAGAGGGTTTAGGGTGGAGAAGAAAAGGTGAAAATGATTTCAATTATGAGCAGACTACATCTTTTTTTAATGCTCTGCAGGGGATCCAAGGGAAGAAGCATATGGTTTTCTGTGCATTGGATACTTGGAACTGGAGTTTCCCTGCTTGGGATCCTCAACGTATATACAGGTTTACAAGCCTACCATGAGAAGACATCAAAAGGCATAAGGCTTTGGACCATAATTTTCACTGCTGAGTTCTGTTTCATTGCCTTCTTCTACCTATTCCAAGACAAATGGGTGTATATACGAAAGCAAGGAGTGATTTTGGGTAGTGAGCCAGTAAGGCCCACAATAGATCAAGTGGTTTTGCCACCAGAAAAGCAAAAGGAATTAGTGACAGATTCTTGTTAAGAAGGCAAATCACCAAATGGCTGGTTTTAAGTTTTAACTAACATGGAATTCCTCTTTTCTTTGTTCTTTTTTTTCTTTTTCTCCTTTACTATATGGAAAATCACCAAAAGCTTTGGTTTTAAGCTTTTTCTTCTTAAACTTTTTCACTAGGAACAGTTGGTGTTTATAGCTGGTGAAGCATTGAATGTTGGGATGTGGATTTCTTCTAATAAAATAGTGATGGTTTTTGCTAATATATTTCTAAGTTATTTTGAAACACAAATTGTCGTTTGAAGTTTGTAAGTGTTTACAATTAAGCAGATTGTATGAGTAACAATTAAGCAGATTGTAAATGTTTACAAAGTGAGTGAAGAATGCAATTTCAAGAAGTTGGTGTCATTTCTTAAACTGCAGGACAATTGTTTACCTATTCATTAAGAAACTTAAGCCTTAATTAAGAAATCTCTAAATAGCTTTCACACCCAACCCAAGTATAAAGTCTGCCTCAAGCCTGTTTGAATGTCAAAATGGGTTTTGTTTTCAAGGGCAGTTGCTGAAGTACAATCTGTAGATGCAATGACTATAGCAGATGACATTCTGAGCTCTTAAAAAGGATGCATTATTACAAGAGGTTTGTAGCTCAAATGGTTAAGAATATTTACCCTTGCACCTGAGATCCTAGGTTCGATTTCCCCTCCCCCAATATAGCTTGTATAAAAAAAGGATGCATTACGGATATTTCCAATTATATCAAGGGGTCAAGACACCTTAATATCAAGTAAAAAGCATGAGATTGGCAGACTGATGCAGAAAATACTTAATCTTCACAAAATTTATGAAAATTAAACAAAAAGAAAAAAATGAAGTATTTGAAGCACTGCATCTCCAAATTCATATAACTTAATTTCTGTATTCTATTTTAGTAGTATAAATGTCAAGGGAAAAGCTGTACATAACCTGTTAATATAGCAATTCCTAATATTACAAGAGGTGGAACAAGTACAAATGCTCCAATGGTGGCAAAGAAAACTGAATCATTCCTCTTAGATACTTCGTTTAAGTAAGCCTGTCTTTTGATGTTTCTCTTCTGCGAGACGGTTAATTCTTTGGCAAACACCTTTTTAAATTTTTTGCCGAGTGGAATGCTGAAATCACCGTCTCTGTCCCCAACCAACTGCGCTAGCTGGTTACGGATTGTAAGTTTCCGGGAGCTACCATCACTCTCATAACCTAGCAATCAAACATGTAATTCTTAGCATTCTCTTTCTTCATTTTCTGTGAGCAACATACGATATGTCTGTTTCAAAATGTGGACAGAAATCACATACCACCATCAACTGATGAGCTTGTAGAGGTAAGTTGCTCCAGAAGATTCAGCTGTGTGCGAGCAGATGACGAAGATCCTGTAAAGAAAAATGCATATGACAAGTGTTTAAAGTGAAGCCAATATACTCTTATATTTAAGCTGAGCTTCTTGCATCAAACCAAATCCAAAATAAAATCTACTGCTTTTCAAAAGGGAACAGAAGAAAAGGTCATGGAAACCAGAACTACGAAAGATGGTTAAGACCGTGACATAAGAAGCACTGCAAAGAGTCTTAGTGTCACTCTAAAGTCCTTGCTTTTCCTCTAATTGCTTGCTAATGTCGAATCGCATCGTTATATAGCAGACAGTGAAAAAGCTTAGATTAGATTGTTTAGAAGGGCCTCAGAGGTAGTTAATCTTATCCCTTTAAGCTAACTAAACTGATTAAATTGGACACTCAATCAGGTCTACTGATTATAACAAAAGGGTAAAGAACATTCATACTATACTGACCGGAGAGAGAAGCAGGAGGTTCTTCGTCTTTAACCCAACTCTCAACTCTGTCTGACTGAGCAGAAGTTCTAAAAGTAGTATTGGACCTGATGTGGGGTTTGCGTTTTGGGTTTAGAAAGGGAGGATGAGGAGGAATAGAAGAAGAAGAAGAAGGAAATGGAGAAGGGTTCGGGTAGAGAGAAGCAGCAGTTACATTCAGGGCCATATTTTTATGAAATTTGTGAGTTTAGAAGGTTCCTTTTTCCATGGCCTTTCTTTGAGGCTATTATTCAGTTGGCCTTCGAATTTCTGTTGCATTACGCCGACCTCAACTTATGTGGGCCAAAAGAAATGCGGGAAAAAGCTCCTCCACATATATTGCACTTAAACATGCCTCTGTTTTTTTGCTTTTTCTTTTTCTCCTAAGGGGAAAAAAACATGCTTTTGCATATTGAAAAATAAAATGGCTATCAAAGGGATTTATATGATGCAAATCACAAAATAGTTTGGGGAACTTAATGCTAGAAAAGGAGACAAGTAGAGAAAGACTGCATCCTTGAATTAGAGTGAGTAATGAATTTTAGTTTGTTGTATTAAAGGGATGTTATAGGTGTGGGATGATATATATAATAACAAACAACGACTACCTTTGATAAAAAAACGAAAACAAAAACAAACTTGAGAGTATTTCCAAGAGTCTCTAAAATTTAGCCAAATTTGAGCTAAAAAAGCAAAAAAGCTATTACATCAAACTACTTAAAAATTGTTCCTCTTACAATGTTCTCTATTTCCCAAAAATGTGTTTTTTCAATGAAAAGCCAACTAGCGAACTTACTGGAGTTGCGATTTTCCCTTCTTGTCGCCAAAATGGATAAGGAGCTGGGTATAGCAAGTCGGCTAGATGCTCTTAGTTTATGTAAAGAGACTAAACCAATTAGCGGAGGCTGGACTGTAAATTGCAATTTCGTTAGTTCGGTATAAGATTATACCTTTTTTAGTGTAAAAAAAACCCAACTAATTTTAATCGTAAATTGTGACTACCGAATCTGAATCGCTTTTTCAATTTTTTTTCCCACCCCTAACTTATTGAAAAGGAGATTAAATTAAATGAATTTCTATAAATTTAATTGAATCACATAAATTTGGATTCTACTAATTATTTGAATTTCCAATTAAACCAAACTCAGGTCAATGTTTGTTGTTACATCCTGAATATTTGAAGTTTGAACTTCCAGATTAAGCAAACCAATAATATCTCCGTGGCCCCCACAAACAGTGCATGGGCCCCATAATCTAACAAAGGATCACCGTTAAAGAATGATCCTAACTAAGGATATCCTACTGTATAACCTCTGGCTTTCGTTAATCCCACGGTCCCCACCAACATAACATAATCCAACTTGCATTCTGATGCTAAATCTATCTAAATGACCAAAATAACCTCACTATTCATTGCCCTCCAAGAAATGCTTTTTTAGATTCACGCCAATAATTAATTTGGTGTTCTACTTATATCTAAATTATATAAAGTTTTTAAAATTAAAATAATGGCCATGATGTATGTTTGTTTCGTTCTCCATTTGAGAAATGTCATCAGCAATAGTTTGAACTTTTTCTTTGAAATTGAAAACAAATGTTAGCAAAAAATAATTTGAGCAGGAGTGTTATGGTCATTTCAGACTGAGCCCGTCAACATGGCCAGTAATATGACCGTTGGAGCCCTACAAAAAACCAGGCGTTTCGAAGCATTAAATTAAATTAAATTAAAAGGAGAAGGAGAGATATCTCAAGGACTTGAGCGAATCAGATACCAAAGCAGAAGACTTCACAAGTTGAAAACCCAAAACCTTTCCTTTTCCATAACCCCACTCAACCCTCTCTCTCTCTCTCTCATGGAAAGAAACCCAAAACAAAGGGAGGAAGAAACTGAAGAAAGAGGCGGTGGCGGTGCTGGTGGTGTCGGTGCATTATTAATGGCCGAAGGTGGTGCAGAGGAGATAGCCAAGGAGATTGTGGCAGCAGAGGAGGCTCCTCATCCGTACGCTTTTCATGTATCTGGACCTCGAAATTTGACTGCTCCGAATTGGAGGGACCTTATAAACTCTAGTTGGTCAGTACTCATTTCATTTCTTTTATGATTTTTGTAAGGTTTCATTGTCTTCGTTCTTGGATTACGGTGAATGGCCAATATGTTACAAGGCTCTGTTCTTTAGAGAGTTTCACATTTTTGCAGGGCTTAGTGGCAGAGGAGGTTTCTCTGTCTTTAAGAAATTCTGTGAAATGTGTTGAATTGTTGCTTAAAAAACATTATCAGAATGGGTTTCATTACAAATTTGAAAATTTAGAAACCCATGCTTGGATTTTTTTTGGATATAAAGGATTTATTTTGAGTTTTATTGGTTGGTTGGTGTAGAATATAGAAGGAAACTACCTTTGAAACAGAGAAGATAGCAGAGTTTTTGTCACTCTATGTTTTGAGCTTTTATTAAAGAGTTAATAAATTAGGGAAATGCAACTTGGATCTCAGATCATTTCAATCAGGATCAGCCGAGAAACTTGTATCGAATTTTGCTGCATTTTGGTGGTACTTTCCTTAAGTTATGGGTTCCTAGATTTAGGAATTTTGATATGGAAGGTTATTATTCTATGATGATATGGATTACTTATGTAAAGTTAGTTCCATTTTAGTCAGCTCAAATTCCAATTATAGTCAAGTCTCTAATTTGTACCTTATTGGTTGGAGGCTTCATTTTGATTGTTTTTTTTTTGTTTTTTGTTTTTTGTTTTGATTGTGTTTGCTTGGTTGTTTTGGTACCATGCTGTCTAGAATTAATTGAGCATAAATTACAGACACAAATGTACAAAGAATGCTGTTGACATTGTTAATTTAGTGATCTGGATTTAGAATCATTGAATCAAATGCTAGCTTTGTTTCAAATTTAGGCAGAATTGGTTCTGGGGTATCTTATGCTTGTCTCCCTCATATGACATGGCACAACTCTCATGTAGTATAGGCGATGAAAAACCCTATGCCACTAATTTTGGTAAATGACTAGCTTTTCTTTTCATACAGGAAGGACGGGAATTATAAACGAACTGTAATCGCATGCTTCATACAAGCAATATATTTGCTTGAACTCGACAGACAAGAGAATAGAGATGAAGCAAATGCTCTAGCTCCTAAGTGGTGGATACCCTTTAAGTATAAACTATCCCAAACCTTAATCGATGAAAGAGATGGATCCATATTTGGGGCAATTTTGGAATGGGATCGATCTGCAGCACTTGCTGACTTTGTACTCATCAGACCAAGCGGTGCACCAAAGGCGGTTCTAGCACTTAGAGGAACATTGCTCAAAGGCCCAACTATGCGAAGGGATATTGAAGACGACCTTCGTTTTCTTGCTTGGGAGAGCTTGAAGGGCTCTGTTAGGTTTAAAGCAGCTATGGAGGCTTTGAAATCAGTTGCTGAAAGGTATGGAAGTAGTAATGTTTGTATTGCGGGACACTCATTGGGGGCTGGATTTGCTCTCCAAGTAGGAAAAGCATTAGCCAAAGAAGGGATGTATGTGGAAACTCATTTGTTCAATCCGCCTTCTGTTTCCCTAGCAATGAGCTTCAGAAATATCGGAGAGAAAGCAGGATTTGCTTGGAAGAGATTTAAGTCAATGCTCCCTTTGAGAAGTGGAGCTCAGGTCAGCAGTGAAGAAGGGGATAGGACTTCTGGTTTTGGATTGAAGAATTGGATGCCAAATTTTTCGGGTTTGAAGAATCCTGGTATGGGTTTGGGAAAATGGGTTCCTCATTTGTATGTAAATAACAGTGACTACATATGCTGTTCTTATACTGAGCATGATGGAGCAGAAGTAAACAATCCTAACAAGGAGAATGTGCGTCCAACAAATGGTCAAGTAGCAGCAAAGCTGTTTGTGATGTCAAAGGGAAACCAGAAGTTTTCGGAGGCTCACGGTTTAGAGCAATGGTGGTCTGATGATTTGGAACTTCAACTGGCTATGCATAACAGTAAGCTCATTAGCAGGCAGCTGAAATCCTTGTATAGCCTTCCAGCTCCACAACAAACACTTGCTAGATAACAAAGGCCCTCTTGTTTTCTTTCTTTCTTAAATAACTCGTTTTCGACTTGGGCCTTCCATACTGTCATGTTTTTATACTTTGTCCATCTGCTCATAATGGCTATTGCCTTTGCTCATCGTTGTTTGTCACCTGTGTTTATTGTCATTTTCATTTGTTCAAGTGCTCTTAATTTTCCTAAGATATCTGAAAAAGCTTTACAATTTTTCTTCCTACACACTGGCAGGATATATCATATACGTGACATGAGCATGAATGAGGTGTAAAATAAATAAATAAAATATATTCATGTTGTGCTCTGCTTGGCTAAGCTTGGCAAGATATATCATATATGCCAAAGTCACAACACAATGTAAACACTTCACTAGTCTGTTTCTTCACATCCACAACTTCAAGGAGAGTTGGAGAAACTAAAATATAAAGAAAGATAGGAGCTAGTTGTATGATAGGGAGTGCTTGCTTCAGTATAATATTTACAATCACAGGGGATTTTCAAACTGATGAGTTAAAGCAGCAAGCATCAATCAATCAAGCAAACTCAAGCCTAGACTTGCTGCTGTTTCATTAAATTTCTTACGTCTTTCAGACTAATCCTTAGCGTTAGCTTGGGAAACACTAGATTGTGTGGAGAGACGGATACTTTTTGCTGCGCAATCTGGAAGGGCGAGAATGTTGACTTGACCGTGGTAAGAGATTTCAATCTCAACCAATTCCTCAATACGGATACCAAACGACATTCCTTCATCAATTCTTAAGTGCACAACCCCTCTTGCACCCTCTATAAACTCGAAGCGAACTCCTCGTACCTTAATTAAAAATAGCGGTAAGTAAAAAAAAAAAAAAAAAAGAAAGATATAAGTTTAGTAATCATCTCTCCGAAATAGATGCTGCAATCTGAACAAATATCAATTCAAGATGATGTATGACCTGATCAAGGAGAGGCCAGTCTATGCCCCCGTACCAAAAATCAGATTTGGAACCGACAACTTCGAGGCGTCCATCGTCTATGAAAGATGGGTTCGTGGGTGTCTGCAATTAACTCAATTTAGCATTAAAAATTTTTAGTAATGGGTGTTGCTATTTGTACAGCATTATTACTTACCACCTTTTTAATATGGATGGATCCCCCAATACAGTGATAGATCCTCTTTTAGAGAGATGATCAGCAATGTAATCTACAAATGAAGGGTGTTATTTGGATCACATTTAATAATTACATTGCTGATAACCTCTTTAATACGATAAGTCCCACATACACTGATGGGGCCACCTCTATTACAGGGATCCACATCCACTTATTTGAAAAAACATTTGTAAAGGAAAATCAAAGCAATCCCAACAGAAAAAATCAATATAAAAGGTGATCTGATGAATAAATATAGTATAAATAACATTAAACCTGATTGCAAATGCCAATCATAGAAAGATTAATCAATGCATGCATATCTCACAAAAACAAAAACACATGTAGAGGAAGAAAAATGAACCTCACTTTTCCATCTTCCATCGTATTTTTTGTCACCCCACGATTTCGACTTGGATCAAAGATAGGCAAGTTAAGAAAACAAATTGAATTCAGGCTGTACATGTATACCAAAGAGACATAAAATTAGAGTACGCGTAAGTCTGCGCGTGTGCATGTGTGTGTGAATGATAAATAAATCAATAATATATATATATATATATATAAAGTAAACAAAACATAGCCAGTGAAGGGTATAACTCAGGTGGTTTTGCTCTTTCATTTCTACCCATATGGGCAAAGGTTCAAAATTCTCAGGCACTCAATGAATACTTATAATAGATATTTAGTCATATACCAATTCTTAGCGCTAATAATATAGATAAACACTACACCATTTAATTTCTATAAAATAAACCCAAAAAATGACAATTGGCTCTATTGAATTTAATTTTGATTATTAAATTACATTGATGCCCTATTGAGTGTTTTGGGTTTTTTAATGAGGTTTTGGGGTTGGGTTTATGTTAAAAAATCAATGGCAATTTTGTAATTTAAAAGAAGTTAAAGCCTTTCTGTTATGTTGTAAATGAGCTTTAAGTGTGTTTCTAAAGTCCATTTTATATATGGTTTTTTCTATAATTTGGGCTTTTATATTGGATATAATAGTGAATCTCTCTACTTATAAATCTCCTCCCCAATAGCTTGTGCTTAAAAAAAAGTAATCAAAATTGATGATCATAACTCTTCTTCTTTTTTTTTCTGCTAGAAATATGAAAAACATCAATGTCACTTAAGGGGGAAAAAAGAAGTTTAACTTGCATACTAGTGGAGGTCTTAGGTTCAAATTTTTATGGCACCTTCACATTATCGCTTTACTTATATAAAAAAACAAAAACAAAAAGTCAGAAATTATGACTTGATAACAACATAAATTCCCCATGTACATAGAAGATTGCCCCGTCGGTGCATTTGACACTGACAGAATCAAGTTTTTATGAAAAATTAGTTATCAAACTAGGGTTAAAGAGAGAAAAAATTACGGAAAGATTTGCCAAAATGAAAGTGCCATTTTTTTTTGGGGGGTTTCACTAAAACACCCAAAATGGGAGCTGAAATTATAAAAAAAATCCAACACCCAAAACACTTTATAAACACACCCAAAAAATATACAATTGTTGATTTTGGGGTTGATTTTGGGTGTGTTTCTATGTTTAAATAGTGTTTGGGTTTTTTTATAAATACATGTCTAGGATTGGGTTTATTTATAAATTTGTATTTTTTTTTTCCTTTCCATTTAATCATACAACAAATAGTGAGGTGTGAGAGTGAGTGCAAGCAAGGTTTTCATCAAACATTTTAAAGAAATAAAAGCACACAACAGAAAAATGATATCATACATGAGGGAGGGAGCAATAAAAGAAGTTAAGTGTAAATTCGACAATCATTACGTACTTTGTTGGAAGGTGGTTGTAAATTTCCCAATGACCAAGATGATTCAAAACCTTTATGCTTGGTCTGTCGCTGTTAGGGAAAACAAAAGTATAAAGTACTAAAAGAAGAATATGTAATTGGCTTATTTTCACAAATGTTGTTTACGAAATTATCACATTTGATACTTCACGAAATTATCCTGCGTAAAATTAGTCTCTACTGTAAGATTCTGTAAAAAATTATGTTAAATTGATGATATGGCATGTATGTGGAGTCCATATCTCCAATAATAGCATGCTTCTCTCTCTCTCTCTCTCTCTCTCTGAGATTTTTCATGAAATCTTTTATATAGAGGATTTTTTTTATTTATAAAAACGATATTCTACTTTAATTTAATCTAAAATACAGGAAATGGACACTCGAGTGCATAGTGGGGAGCACACAAAGACGGATCTAGGCATGAGCTAGAGTGGGCTCTAGCCTAGTGCTAAACTTGGAGGTGGAAAAAAATTAATATTAATTTTATAAGTTAAAGCCAAGTTAAATAAAAAGAGTCCACCCCTTTCTGTTGAAATTAGCCTATAACAACTGTAAGATTTCATCTCTAGAGGCACCCACACACGTTAAAAATCATGTTTTTCTATTACCCACCCATGTAAGCTATAACTTTATATTTGAAGTTGAGAGCTTAGAAGTAGTGGGTCTCCTCCTCTTTAAAATTGTATCAACCTATATCCAATGGGTTCTTTAATATTAGTAAGTTTCTCTCTTACTTTTTGTTTAATTTCCAACTTCAATTGTTATTGTTAGCCTTTTATGATTTATTAGAGTTTGTGTGTTCAATTTTGGGGATTTTTTTCTTATGCAATTTGCTATGATTTTATTGATGACTTGTCATTTTTCTAATTTAATCTTTTCATTACTTGATCTTTGCTTTTATATAGTCTAGTTGTCTCTTGGTTTTGTTGAATGTTTGTAGCTTGTGATTGTTCAATTGTAAATCTATATGACTGCACTCCCTACGTCTATGTGTACTCCCATCAAATTTAAAAATTGTTAATTGAAGAATAGTTGCTACCACTCATTTTCTTTACATATAAAAAAAAATCTATAGCCTATAGCCAATTAACCATGTAAACCCCTCATAAAAAAAACCACGTAAACCTAAAGAAAAAAAAAGGTAATATAATGGATCTCCCATTAAAAATACTAGTCCACCCTTATAAAATTTCCTGGGTCCGCCCTTGGGAGCACACCCACTATAACCAACTTAGCTAAGCCCATATATGCAATCTTTCATATGGAGGATTAATTCACTGTAATGGAAACAAATATGTACAATCAAAAAATCCACATTGCAAGTTCTCTCTCTTTTTTCCTTCTCTCCCTTTCTCTCCCTCACTTTCTCCCCCCACCCCAATCATCCCCCTAACCATCGACAGACCCCGCACAACCCAACCCCCACAGAACCAAAAGCAATCACCCTGGCCACCATCTTCCCCAACTCAGCCACCCCCATAACCCACACCATCCCCCGGCCTCACCCCACCCCAGACCCACCGCCTAGGCCCTGCACCGGAATACCTATTTATTTATTTTTCTTACTTTTTCATCTTTTTTCCTAATCCTTTCAATTTTAAATTTTTAAAACATATATATATTATTTAATTTCCACGTTATTATTGGACATTTGGGTTCCACATCATTAGTTTAACAAAATACTTAACGAAATATCACGGTATGAATCAATTTGATGTACACAGGGTAACTTTAAGAACTAACTTTGTAACAAAAAACTTAAAGACCAAAGATGATAATTTCGTGAACCACAAAGACCGTTTGTGAAAATAAGTCTATATAATTTAATATCAAATTACCAGGATTGGGTACCGATAATTGGTAATTTCAAATGCATACAGGGTTATTTATAACAACATGATGAATAATTTAGCTTGGAGGGAAGAATGAAGCTCTGCCAATAAATACCTCATAGAATAAGAAAGGCCTTAAATGTCGGTCATTCCGGAAATATTAGTAGTCCCCAAGTGTAGAAATTCCGACGAAAATATCGATAAAGTATCGATATTTATGAAAATATGAATAAAAACAATAGAAATTGTTAGAAAATTATGAAAGTTTTGAATGAAACTTTGAGTCATGTTTATAAAACTAAATGTAAGTGAGATGCAATTTGAGCCATCCAAAGTGCTAAAATCCAACGTTCTAGTGTGTGTCGAAAAGTGTTACAAAATGTGTCCTTCCGATCCTGACTCATTAATTAATGCATAAAAAATATGGAAATGAAATTATAACAGGAGTATAAAAAAAATTTGAATGAATTTGGGCACATAACGAAGAAAAGAAATTAAAATTTAAACAAGGATGAAATTCTTTACCTCTCAAGATGAAGTAGTAACAAAATCGTCCGTAAAATGTTGGATTATCCTAAGAAATATATAAGAATTGAGGAATTAATATTATCATAAGATAAGAAGTGGTAATAAGGAAGAAGAGATAAGAATGAATGAAGACACTACTAATTCAGTACTGAAGGTTTTCATTCTTTCGATAATATAGAATATATATCATAAAAGTGAAGTGATAGGTCCATTGAGAATGGAGATTGGAGATTATGAAAGAAGGAAAGAAAAAATTAAGGAGCAAGTCTTACCGCTTTTTCCACATCTCCAACCTCATGCAAACAATGTGGTAATGGGTCCATAAAAGAAGCATATGGTTGTCCTGTAGAAGATTGAGTGCGTTTCATCCTAATGATACAATGCCAGCTGAAAATCCAATAAAAGAATAAATAAGATTACCACTACCCCCGCAAGAACAAATCCAATAATTTCAATTCTTGATATCTTACTATTAAAAGTTAACTTCAATAGTTAGTCATACGAGATCTCGATCGAATACCTATCAGTTCTCGTCGATTCTGCCAATGCTACGTCAACAAGAAACGATTGCAACGGTGATATATTCGAGATGTCCTTCTGAAAGTAACGGCAGAATCATACATGTACATGTTGTAATTAAAATGGAAATCCATGAAAAACAAAGACCTACGAGGATGGTACATATGTCATGAAAACGGAAGAAAATAAAATAGTAAATGTGGATTTCCCTCTTTAAATTAATGTTTTCTTACTTACAACTCTTTGTCTTATTTTTCTATTAAGAAAACTCAATTTATTATAAGTAAAACTTAACGACTAGGATCCAACTCAGTAAGTTACCTAATTAAGAAAAATACTACAATGAACGACTCAATTGTAAATGATGTCATCATCTTAAAAAGGACGCAAAACCGCTGTAAATCATTTCAAGTTCATTTATATATGTTTTGATTGATGATCAGAAATTAATAAATGCCCCACCCATCCAAACGAAGCACCGATTCCATTGTAGTGGTACCGTAGTGGTACCGGAGCAATGGAGGGTGACTCTGGCAATTTAAGATCACAGATGACTCCCAAAATCCAGTTTACAATAGCATCCCGGGCAACAACCTGAGATAGAAGAAATATATATATACACATAATGTCAATTTAAAAAAAGATATTACAAATGTTATACGCTTTAGCAATATGTATTAATTTAACATGTTACTCACTATAATTCTCATCTTCTTTTGAATTTCAGAAGCAAAACCATAATAACCTTGAAGCTTAAGCTTTTCTAGATGACCATAAACATCCTTTAGCACCGTTTCAGGATTAACATTATATGTCTCTGCCTTTTCCAGTTGTACACCAAAAACCTAGAAAATAAAGGAAAACAATACAATATATATTATTAATCAAATCCGGTCCATGCATGTTAATTAGAGTTTTAATTACACATAAACTAGGTTAAAATTTCATTTCAAATAATATATGATCATTCATGACTACATATACATATATATATATATATATATATCAAATTGCATTAGGGTTCAATGAGAAAAATACCTGCTTTTTAGTAAGGAGGTCGCAAAATTTCCCATAGAGTTTTTCTCCAGCATGTTTATCAATAAACACCAACACTGGGGATTTTTTTATATGGAAGGAATCAGGTTCAACATACAAATCAGGTAAGTCCTCAGATTTGCGGTAGGGCGGAGAAGTCCTCCTGCATGGGACATTCATATTGGTGCGTAAATAATTCGAAAGACGATACCAAAATGAGGAAGTAAAGTACTGTATGTATAATTAAGTTGAGAATAATACTCAAAATTTTGGGTGTTGTGGGACATGATTTCTGCGAGTGTCCTAGCGGCCAATGGTAGACCATAACATAAATCCTTAATTTCACTCTCAACCTTTTCCAAATGTTGTTGATAACCAAAAGCAGTGTCCTTAAATATATTCCAGCAGCTTTCTCTGTCCAAAGGCTCAAGAGAAATAATCAAGCTCTCATAATGTTTATCTGACCCCTCCGCATGTACCACCATAGCTTCAACCACTTCCGGTATCCTACTAGTGACGATGACGGCACCACCACTACCCTTAGGCAATCCGTGCGATAAGCGATCCCCAACTTTCTTATCACCTTCCTGAACCTCAAGTAGTTGTCCTAAATCCGAGTAGAAATCGTTCATGTGCCACACATCATCCAACACAATCAAATAACTTTTACCTGATAAATGTTGGTTGAGCCTTTCCAAGAGCGCAGCAAGGAGATGACCAGAATTATTACTACTTATAGTCTTCTCCTCCTCCTGGATGATGCCATCTCCATCGGCAACGGCATCGTGGTCCAACTTACTTAGCATACATTTCACAATGCTGACCTCAATTTCTTCTTCTACTTGTTTATTTTCTTTGACTATATTCGACAAGCACAACCAAATTATAGGAGAAAATTTACATCGCACTATCCACGAACTCAAAAACTCGCGCACCAGAGTGGTCTTACCCGCGCCTGCCATGCCTACTATCCCAACTGCCGCAAATCCAGCACCTGACGACGGCGATGATTCTACAAGGAAGTCATCAATCTTCTGTAATTGCTCATCAAATCCCACAACTACAGTCTCAAATCTTTGACGGCGATGTAATAATACGGGTAGTTCGCTCTCTAAATTCTCTTCAGGATCAGGACGACTTGATGATTCGCTCAAGTTAAAAATTCTTTCTTTCTTTTTCATGAACTCATCCTCGAAGATGCGTTTTATTGCACCCAGCCGCTTCTTCATCTTTAGCACGAAACAAATCTTCCTCAAACTCAAATGGTTGAAGACTATTAAATGAGTCTTGTGATGACTATGCTTCTTCCACTCATGTGAGAAGACCTGGCACTTGGTCAATGCGTCGGTGAGGTCCAGGAGCACAGAGATAAAGCGACGGTAGTAATCTTCCGTAAGTCTTCGCGTATCTATATCTATTACAATATCTTTGATTGCTCCCAAATCAGAAATCAGAACAGCACCTGATAATTCAGATTCTGTCTCCCTAAGAGATGCCAGGAACTTATCCCTGAGAAATTGAGCAACATCGCCTGCCATTTCACCTTCAACACTATATTTATGTATCTACTGCAATTTTAATCAGAAACTGGGGGGAGTATTATGAAGAGCACATGACCACGCCTTGGCCTTTGTTCAGCGCTTTGATCAAAGGACCTGGATCTGTTATTGGAAGAAAAGGTTATGTCTCTAGTTCGATCATTTTCATATTTTTAGCTATAAAATTCATGCTCAGCATCAAATAACTGTTTAAAAAGTAGAATGAGCCGCTAGGGGAATCAGTTTTGCTTGCATGAGTATAATGAACTTTTTCTTTTCTTTTTCCCTTTTTTAAGCGTTCGGTTTTTGTTAATCAGTTTCGGTTATTCCAATTACAGGTAGCACTTTGTGAAGCTACACGAC